AGAATGGAGGAATCAAACATGAAGCATAATGTGGATGATCTTAAACTCAGTTTACAGGGATGCTGTAAATCATTTGCTACATAAAATTTACTCCTATACCTTTAAGAACAAGGCTAATGGAAAGATGAGTCCTCAAGTTTAATATTTGAGGTTCAGAAGTTTCACATAGCTATTCAAAACCCAGTTTTACTGGCCGGAGGGGGGAGGGGGGGAGAATAAGAGATCCTCCGGAAAAGGGCTTTATCCCGGAGGATCGCGCCAGTCTAGACGCTCTTTTCCGGCTTTTCCCCAAGCCGGAAAAAAGCGGCAGCCATGTTTATTTAAATCCCGCGGGGGATATTTAAATCCCCCGCGGATTTCCCTATTCTGACTTGCCTGCTTTGCATGCCTCTTCTGGAGAAGGGGCCAGTCTAGACGTAGCCCCTATGTATTTACATTCACAAAGCCCTCCTTGATAGAAGGGAACTGAACCGTATACCATGAAAGAGTAGTTGAAGTCTTAAAAGCAGTGACAGGTCTAGTGGTAGAAATAAGGCAGCCTAATGTCAAATGCACTACAGTAGATTCAAATAGGGCAACTTCAAGAAAATATTTCTAAAAGCCAATTTAAGATGCCAAAACCTGATAAACTCAGCTGTAAATCCTATGAAAGTTTGCCCTCACCTCAAAATTGCAAGCCATCTTCTCACTGTGAAGTGCATTACTTTGCCTCAAAAGTTTCACTCTGGCCAGGAGGAACTTGCATCTTCTATTTACCATACATGCAAACTGAGCAGATGACGACAGCAGTAACAATTGCTTATTAAAACTTTTCATGTTGACAACTTAATACAATGATTAACAAGTCACTTATGCAACAGAAGTCTTACAAAATGTTCCCTCCATGTGATTACCCTTATGGCAATAGTTAAGATGAAAGCTGTATCCAACACCTTAACTTCTAGGAATCACCTTGAGGTTTCTGCCTCTTGCCCCAACTTCACTTTAAAAATACATCTCAACTTTCCAATCTTTTCAGACTGCATAGAAAGATGCATAACTGAGTTACATCCGCTTAGGCGGGGGAGGGGAAGGAGTGAGTCCACCACCTTGATTATTCCTCAGGTCATTTAACCTCCATGAGGAAAAGGCAGAGGAATTTCTTTCAAATATGAGCTACACATTAGAACTGGCTAAAATGTTTAACATGCAGGAACTTTCACCACTCAATTTTTTACCTATATGAAAGGTTCACCTATGTGTCAGTCACAAACATTAAGTTTTTAGAAAGCTTATTTATTGTAAGAAAACTAATGTTTTAGTCAGGTAGAAAACTAAAATGTTTGATTCAGACTAGACCTGTGACAATACATTGTCATTACCTCTTTGAGGACCCCCACTGTTCTACCATATTTAAGCAGCAGTGAATTGCTTCAATACTTTTAAAAAAAAAAAAAAAACACACAAAAACAAGAGATGTCAGCAATAACCGCCTCTCCATTTGTGAAAATTCTGGTAAAGAGGAGGCTGGCAGGGAGGGCACAATTGAGAAGATTACTGTTTTGTAGCAGTTGAAAGTAGCAAGCAATTCAGTTAATGAATATACAGGCAGGCAGCAAATATGTAGATGCTTATTTTAGTTCCATCAGTATGCTCATGCCAGCAAACACTTTTTGCCAAGCAAACATTAGTTCTTAAGTACTGCACAGAAAAAGGTCACTACTATCTGGTAAAGGAAAGTCTTTTCTCCCCAGCTGAATGTTCATTCCTGTCTGTAGATTAGAGTGCTGTAGTTTAACCTATAGACCAAGAAAGAACACTTATATGTCTTATGATTTTGTCTGCTATTAAAAGGATCTCAGTACACTAGTCTCCACATGGAAATACACGTTAACTGACAATGAATATCTGAACACAGGGCAGCTTTATTCCCTCTTTGATTCAAGAGGGAAACATGACAAGACATGTGTGAAAGTCACTGTGCTCTTCATGTACTGAATATTGCGCTATTTCCAATACTGATTCTGTTCAGTCTCAAGAAATTCTTAAGTCAATTATTCATCAAAATAATGTTCATCTTTCCACTGTGTGTTGTCTTATGATAAACTCCACTATCTTTGCCAACTGACAAAAAGCAATGGCAATAATTAGACTGGTTACAGCCTTTGATGTACATGTGTTTTTTGCAATCTAAATATCAATTCTGATTTTGCCACTGAAAAAGTATAAGAATTGCGCTTCTTTCAGTAAAAACTTTCAAGTAACAAGTAGTGATCCATTTTGATTTTACTTATTCAAGAATCGTAAGGGACATTGAAAAGCTGAGTGAGTACAAACTGCTAGAGTTACAGCCCAGGTAGACAAGAAAAAAAAAATGTTACAGAATACAATTTTTTTTTTTAATAGTTTTACCAAAAAGATCATAGCCCATTATAATTGAGAATAGGTTAGAGCTATTAGCTTCTGAAGTCACTAATTAATAATGGGATGTTTTTGTATTTAAGAGGAGAGGATGTTTTTGTATTTAAGAGGAGAGGATTGCCTACCCATTCCATCGTTTTTTGGAGCAGCTGCTGACTAAACACTAGATTAGATAACGGAGGCCAGCCATCAACTCAGGTAATATTAAGTAATTAAGGTAACAAAACCTGCATTTTAAATTGGAGCAGTAAGTTGGCAGTTTGTGCTAGTTTCTTAGAGTCAAACATAAATGGAAGAATCATCTGTTTGTGTGACTTAACAGCACAGAAGTTAAATCTAAGCCAAGTATCTCAATACAAGATTACTAACTACATACAAAACTACCGTACCAGGAAATTAGAAATAGATGGGACTCGGATCAATAAAATCCTTATGATTTGCTTCAAGCACACAGGTAAGTATGTTAAATATCCTTATAACTTCCCGGAAAAGATCAGGTATCCACACACAAGCACCTAAAACATCTTTCAGATTTTATAGCCTCAGAATTGAGAACTGAGTAATTGTCATGTTTTGAAGACAAGTATTTCGTTGTAAGTTAGATGTACTTTAATAGTGCAAATTCTCCTAGTAGCAGAAAGCTTGATTTACACCAAGATATCCCTTTGCAAGTATTATGCCTCGAGTTGATGGAATTTTTTGTAAAAACTTGCTATCAGCTATGATTGTCAGGAGTTTCACACTTTAAGACCTTCTGCTGTTTAAGAGAATCAAGCTACATATTCAAGTTGTGAAATGCAAGTAGCATGGGTTATGTGCATGTGCCTTGTCAACGATAGGACAGAGTTTTAAGGCATGACAGAATTTAAGGAGAGAAGTTTCTAGCACACCGCAAATCAACAAGCCATGCCAGTCTTAAACCACTTGTAAAACTTGGATATCATCAATAAATGTAGTAAAGCAAATACGGGTATAACCTTCCGATCATTTTACCAATGAGGCAAAGATACATACTTTCAAGAAGTAGAATCAAGAGGAAGGGAACTGATTTGGTAATAAGTCTGAAATATTTCTATTCATAAATTTTCTAACAAGTGTTTATATTATCTCCACTCATCATACAGCAGTTTACCATTCACAGAGTTAGTTGAACACACTGCAGAATGTATACTGTACTTATTTAATATTCAGGCAATAGACATTTGAAAGAGACTAGTATTTTCAGAAATAGTTTTCTTCAATTTATGGTTGCTAATTCACTTTGATTTCTAAGCGTCATTTTTCAATCACTGCAGATTGCATAAAATTCTCCTCTAGGCTGCTATAAATTTAGCATAAAATCAATTTTAAGTGCCACTGTCAATATCTGACCTTACAAGTGTTTACATGACTTCCCATGGGAAAGTTTGTTTGTAGACAACTTCAAAGAACAAACATACATTTATTTAGTTTTGCTGCTATACTGGACAGCAAAATAGTCTCAACAAGAGACCCGTGTGTGAAAAAACCTGGACTATTTTGAGATACATGTTACACATACAGTTGAATCTATTCTTACTATGACTGCGTAACTGACCTATGGATTGTTCACAACACCAACTGACTGACACAAGTATGCCCAAAAATCCCAAAGCAATACTTCATAGTAGCAACATAAAAAAACTGGACTCAAAATTAATTTAAGCAATTTTCATTCTGTTAAATTAGATGCACTTGCCCCAAGTAGTGAAAGTTATATTTTGGTTTTTATATTTTGACTTCAACCCCCATCCTCCTTAATGCCACTAATCCTGCACTGTATAATTCAGATTCTGTCGCACAGCTGCCTACTGCACAGGCACTTGTGGAAACACAGTTCATTAGAAACACTAGCAAGGCCAATCAGGGTGTTAACAGACAAATGAACAACGTATTAGAAAAGGACCAGGAATAATAAATCCTTTAGAAACTGCAGGAATGTAAGCCAACATCTGTTCATCGTTAATCCAATGGAAGTAACGAACAGAACTGATAGGGATCTTTTATGGTACTAAAATTGAAGTGGTGATGGAGAAAGCCTACATTACGCACTCACCAAAAGTGTTATTTTTTCCTTCTAAAAAGCCTACTCTAAACCATTTAACGACAACGCATCCGTTTCAGCTACCAAGTGCACTGTGCATGGTTCTCGGGGGTAGGGGGCACTTTTTCCTTCTCCTAGGTGGATGCCGGTTACGATCAGCTGGAAACAAACAGCAAGCCCACAAGTGTCAACCGAGCGGGGCAGCGCTTCACCCCCAGGCTGTCTCCCCAGCCCTAGCACATCCGACTCGGACCGCTCCCCAAAAAATGCTCCAAAGCGAGTCACCCCTCGGCCACCTGGGCAGCGTGTGGAGATTTTCACCCCCCCCCCCCCCGGTAGGGGCGTCTCCTCCCAGCTGGTCCCACCGGGGTGCCCAGGGACCAGACACTTTTCTTCCAGCCTCTCGCCGGAGCGCAGCGAGATAAGCGGCGCCTGCCCCCCCGCGTAACTTTCCCCCGGCGGCCGCGGAGCAGCAGCCGGTGCCGCTGGCCGGACTCCGCACCTGGCCGCCCCCGCGCCCCACCCCGCCGGGCCCCACCTTGGTTCCCCAGCCGCAGCGCGTGGGTGAAGGACGGGGCCAGGGAGTCCTTCTCCGCCATCAGCTCGGGCAGGGACTTCTCGTCCATGGCCGCTCGCCGCGCTCCGCGGAGCCGCACGCAGGGCAAGGGGCAGCGGCGCGCGGCGGTACCGGGCGCAGTAAATCCTCTCCGGCAGCGCTTCCCTCCGGCGCATCCACCGGCCGCCACGCGCCCGCCCTACGCGAGGGGAGGGGGAGCCCTCCGCCCCCCCAGGAGCCAGCCCCCGCCGCGGAGAAAGAAGGCCGCCAGAGAGGGGGGGGGGGGGATGAGAAACCCGAGCGCGCGACCGTTATCCACAGCGGCGGCGAACACCGGCGCCGACTCCGCGAGCGAGGCTGGCAACAGCAGGTTTAAATAGGGCCCGGGAGGCCACGCCCCTCGCTACCCAAAGGCCACGCCCAACGGTGCTGGCAACCCCGCCCTCATGTGGTCTAGCCTCGCCCCACGATCCTCCCCGCGGGCGGTGCTCTTCGGCCTCGTCTCTTCAGCCGGCCTCTCATTGGGTGGGCTCGCCTGTCAGTCAGTTCCGTTCTGCGGCTCCTGATTGGCTGTGTCGCCTTGGTCCCAGCTTGGTGAGGGGGCCGGGGAGTGGAAGCGCTCGCGGGAGTCATGGGTAAAGGCTCGCGCGCCTTCCCCTGGCCGGCACGCACCTGAGCGGCTGCTGGTGGCCACAGCGGCTCATCCTGCCCTGCACGCTCCAGGCAGGGGCTGCGAGGGGAGAAAGTCCCTGGGCTCGAAGTGCCTCACGGAGCCACACAGCAGCATCCTGCTCCAGTCACCTTCACACGCGCATACCCCGACCTGCGGGGAGAGCGCTCTCCAGCTAACCCTCGCTCCCAGGTGCAATAAGCCAAGCCGCCCCATAGCGAAAGGGCATCCCTGAGTCTGCTGCCTCACGCTGCCACCTTTCCCAAAATCCCGTTATTAAAACAACACAACCCGAATGTGGGGGAATTGTAGGAAGCTCACTCGTCCCTCCCCACCCGGGCACATTCTTGGAAACCAGGGCTGCCAACCATCCTGATTGCCTCACGAGTCTCAGAATAGCTGCAATTTCATTCAAAGTCCCAGCTACGGAAGAGGAGTGATTGTGGGAATCACCACTTTCATTGGCAACTGCTTCTAGCTTTCCTGCTTGGGCAGAAAAGCTTAAACATATGACCTGGGTGCACCCTTTATGCTCAGACACCAAAAGGCCAATTTAAAAACCATTTTTTTCATCTCATGATCTTTTAGAGACTTGGATTTTTTTAAAAACACTTGTGAGGTTTGATACATTGAAATGCCCCTACTAAAATTCTGCTCTCTCTCTCTCTCTCTCCTAAACACTGAGCACTGGTATGTCTCTCCAGAATGAGGTTTAAAGCTCTTTACAAGTGTTAGCTAAATAATCCTCACCACAGACCTATGAAGTAGGGAGATAATGTACAGATGGAGAAATACAACATAAATAAGTTGCCCTATCACTAA